AACGGTATGCAAGGCCCCGGGCGAGACACCGTTCACATCACTTGCGCTGGCGGAACTTGCCCACCGAGCTGGGATACCCAGGGGCGTCGTGAACGTCTTGACCGTGCACAAGAACACCCCCGAGGTCGGCGAGACGCTATTGACGCACCCTACGATCCAAAAGGTCTCCTTTACGGGCTCCACGGGGGTCGGGAAACTGCTCATGAAGCAAGCTTCGTCAACTCTGAAAGTGCTGTCCATGGAATTGGGCGGAAACGCACCATTCATCGTATTCGATGACGCTGACGTCGATGCCGCCGTGGCCGGGGCCATCGCGTCCAAGTTCCGCTCATCAGGCCAAACATGCGTTTGCGCTAACCGCATCTACGTCCAGAAGGGCATCTACGACGAGTTCGCTTCGAAGTTCGCCGAAAAGGTCAAGGGCTTCAAAGTGGGCCACGGGTTCGAGGAGGGCGTCACCCACGGCCCCCTAATCCACGATCGCGCCATTGCCAAAACCGATGCCCACGTAAGGGATGCAGAGGAGAAAGGTGCGAAGGTCGTCGTGGGCGGCCAGAAGATGCCAGATCTCGGGACCAACTTTTATCAACCCACCGTCATCACAGGCATGACGAAAGATATGGCCATCGCGTACGAAGAGACATTTGGCCCTGTCGCCGGCCTCTTCCCCTTTGAGACGGAGCAGGAGGTGGTGGACCTGGCGAACGCTGCCGAGGTCGGGTTAGCCGGCTACTTTTTCTCGAGAGATCTGGAGAGGATAACCCGCGTCGCCGAGGCGCTCGAGGTCGGCATGGTAGGCGTCAACACGGGTCTGATTTCCGACGCGGCTTCGCCGTTTGGAGGCGTCAAGCAGTCCGGCTTTGGCAGAGAGGGCTCCAGATATGGCATAGAGGAGTATCAGCACATCAAGACGATCACGTACGGTGGCATGGGCAAGCCGCTGCAGAGCTGAGCAGCGTGTACTTGTACGAAAAAAAAGATGAATTTGATAAATAGGAACTATCTAGAGGTAGCGACTCCTCAAGACGAATATTCATATTCATATCCGATATTCTCATTATCAGTAACAGCATGCTATGTTGCATTTAGCTATACGGCAATGAATTAGACCTTCGACGAAAGTGGCACTTGACCGCCCAACGCACCACGAACAAACACACCGAGCTCGTATGTTGTAGTATAGCGTTTGAAGAGCTGCGAATCACGATAGGCATATTGAGCCGACTTCATAGGAAACTAAAAGAGAATACTGAGTATTTACCTAGTTACCTACCTCTACCAACCTCTACCTACCTACTTAGTAGAGAAATATATAAATCAAACAGCCAGCCAGCGTCTTGGAGTTTTCTTGTTGATGTTACCTGCTTCGTCCACTACCAGGTACAAGGCGTAACAGAGCGGCTCGCTTTAGTGCATAACCCACCAAAACTTTCACCTATCCGAGCCGGGCCGTCACCGATTCTTAATTAGAATTTAATTCCCGATAAGCCAAGTTGGCAGAGGACCTCTCCATACCCGTGGTAAACATCCCAACATCACAGCCCACCTCAAACCAGCCACACACATGATACGTAAACCGTTCCTTCCGGCCGTCGGCGGCCACGCGAGGCCCGACCTCAACCGAGTCGCGGACGGCATAGCGGCGTCGCTACGCGAATTCTCCACCGCCCAGCAACGTGCGGCCGCGGCGGACGGCAGAAATGGCGGCAGCGGCAGCAGCAGCGGCAGCAGAGACGGCGACAACAGCAGCAGCGACAACAGCAGCAGCGACAACAGCATCTCGCGACCGACGGGGCGGCAACGCGCAGCCGCGGCCTTCTCCGACCTCATGGAGCTGAACAATCGGACTCCGATGCAGCGACCCTTCGCCGGCAGATCAGACACCCCCTTCAAGAGGATAGACCTGAGTTCCGAACCCACCGCCGCCCCCGACAGATCAGGCAACGCCTTCAGGCGCCCGGACCCAAGGTCTGAGTCTGCTGCCCTCGGCAGATCAAACACCGTCTTCAGGAGCCTGGACCTGCGTTCAGAATCTGCCGCCCCCGGCAGATCGGGTACTGTCTTCAGGAGCCTAGATCTGCGTTCCGAATCCGCTACCAGCGCCGCACAGGCCCCCGGCAGATCAGGGACCGTCTTCAGAAGCCTAGACCTGCGGTCTGACTCCGTCATGGTTCCTCGCGCACCTGGCGCTAGCGGCGCGAACATTATCCGCGGCGGCTTCGGCGGCGGCTTTGGGATGGGCAGAGGCGGAGGATTCAGAGGCAGAGGCAGAGGCGGGAGAGGTCGGGGCGGGAGGGGTCGAGGTGGAAGGGGCCGTGGAGGCAGACGAGGCGGGAAAGATGGGGAAGAAGGCGATGGCGACCGTTTCAAACGTGGGGACCAAGAGATCACGGACTCCCCCGAGGTCCTCGCGATGCGGCAGGCCATCGAGGTCGGCTCGACGCAGCAGTTCGACCCGACCATCTCGAAGGGCGACTTCGCGGGCTGGGGCCCCGCCGTGCCGACGACGGGGTCGAGTGCCGCCAAGGACGAGACCGTCCTACGCCAGGCGCGCATCCTCGGCGGCGGGCAGTACTTCCACCCGCTCCACCGCTACCCGACCGAGGAATTGAGGGAGCGGTACAGGAAGGAGGCCGGCGTGTTCTTCCCGACCGAGGAGGTGAAGGCGCACTCGGCCGAGGTGCTGAAGCTCGAGGCCTTCCCGCCCGTGCCCCAGGAGACCAAGGACGCGGTCCTCCAGGCCGCGCTCCTCGGCGTCTACGACGGCCCGCAGTACGCTGACCGCTCGGACACGCTCGGCACCGTGCGGAATTACGTCAAGCGCGACTCTTCGTTCAACGCGGATGCGGAGCGGCGCGTCTTGGAGAAGGTCAGGAGTCTTCTGCCCGGCGGGAGGACGGGGCCTGCGGGGGCTGCCAGGGGAGCGGGGGCAAGGGCCTAGGGACGAATCGAAAGACATCCGTCCATCCATCCATTCATCTACCCATCCGTCTTCGAAGCCATCAGATATTAAAAGATAGGGGGAGCAAGATACCCGAGGATTGACTTATACTTATGTCCATGACGTCTGTCTCGTCTCGGCTTTGACAGTCACTGTACACTATCATACGAAATCTGTATAAACACGAAAAGGAAAAAAGAAGGAAAGACAGAGAAGAAAAAAAGTGTTCATCCACAACTGTCAATTGTCATGATAATGTACAAGCCATCGGTAACCGACAACGCGACACATGTCCTTTTTTTTAATATTACATGATCACCTCTTGGCGCGGGAAACGTGCGTGCCTCGTCTCTCTAAGACGACGCAATAGCTAAGTGCGCATCCGAGCTTCTCTCTCTCTCTCTCTCTCTCTCTCTCTCTCTCTGCTCCCCGCGACGGAGCTTTACCCTCCATATACTCCATCTATCCACACGACAAAACAAAACCTACAACGAGTCGGCGGCCTTGACGGCGCTGGTCTTTATCCTCTCGATCTCGTCGGTGGTGGACTTGATGAGCTTGTCCAGCTCCTTGTCGGCGGTGAACTTCATGTCGGCGCCGACGGCGCCGGCCTTCTTCCAGGCGACGTGCGTCTTGTCGCGTTTCTGGCGGATGAGGCGGACGCGGGCGGTCCAGTCGTTGGCGAGGTCGCGGACGCGGCGCACGAGGTCGTCGCGGGTCTCGGGCTGCACCTTCAGGACGAGCTCGAGCTCGTTGTCCGGGTCGCGCTGCGGCTGCTGGTTGAACTCGGGGCTCGCCTGCACGGCGCTCATGATGGCCCGGACGTGGTCGGCCTCGTGCACGAGCAGCGAGACGGCGCGCCCGCCCCGCGGCACCACCTGCGCCAGCTCGCGCAGCGGGTACGACGTCCCGGCCTTGCGGTCCACGGCCACGCTCAGCCCGCCGATGACGTCCGGGTCGAACCGCCCGCCCGCGTGCACCTTCTTGAAGGCCGCCTTGAAGTGGTCGGCCTCCTTCCGCAGCCGGGACTCGACGTCGGCGAAGTTGAGGGGCTCCTCGGGCGACGGCTGGGGATGCCGAGGCCCGTCCTCTGCGCCGCCGCCGCCGCTGTTACCACCACCACTGCTACTGCTGCTATTATTCTCGGCGGCCCGACCCTTCGACTCGCGCCTCGAGGGCTCTGCCTTGTCCTTGTTCTTCTTCGCCTTACGGATGGCGGGGGACGCGTGGAAGGCTCGCGTGCCGCGTGGGAGGCGTAGTCTGGTCTCGAGCGGTGACTCGGGAGCCGGTGACGCGAGGAGGGGCCTTCGGTGATGCTGGGGGCATGTTGTTGGCTGAGTCGTGCTATAGAAAGCTTTCGCGGCCGTGTTGGCTACGACGCTCGTGCGTGTTACCACATCGTGGTAGGAGCTGTCGAGGTGGTTGTGAGCGTCAGTGGAGGGTCAATTGGGCTGCTGCTGTTGCTGCTGACGACGTACGTTCTCCTCGTCTGGGATCGCGCGAGGCCCTGTCGCAGCAGAATCCGGGCTGCGACGTTGTTGTTCATCTTCCTCTCTTTCTCTGTGTTTGTGTCTGGTGCTGTGCCTAGCTCTCGCTCGAGGGGTGACGGTGTATGGAGGTGGGAGCCTTCCCTCGTTGAGAGATGGTGGATCGCGATTAGATTAGATTAGATTATGGATGTATACAGATGTAGGTACCTACAATGTACATTGGCAGACTCACCATCTAAGCGACAGTAGCTACCTCTTATTCAATTGTTTTTTTAATCCACAGAATGTTTATTTTGCAGCTTCATCAAGCTACCCAGCTGGTAAGTTCTTACCACGGGTTTACGGTTCCTGTTTTACGCTTTGATATCTAATCTATTAAGCAGTATAAGTGTACCTAGGTTAAACCAGAGGTATGAATTGCTTGATTTCTCTTCAACTTTAATTTTAGCGAAGATCTTTTTTGTGATGAAGTTGCCTAACACCATTGCTATTATTATATGAAAAAGAAGAGAGAAAAGAAAAAGAAAGGGGGGAAAGAAATTGCCGCAAGTGCAAAAAGCAAAAACCATTGTTTCCGGCCGGGATTGAACCGGCGATCTTCTGTGATCATTCAGTCGATGTAAGACAGACGCCCTAACCACTAGGCCACGAAAACCACCAATCAAGTTGGGATCTTGATTTGTTGGGATGCAACGAGATAGATCTTTATTATATTCGTAGGCATTTAGCATACGTGAGAGCTCATGAATTATTTGATCGAATCCGAGGTGCCCGAGTATGTTTTGTTGCGAGCAGAATACGTGTAGTACTTTGCTGGACTAATTCAAAAGTAATAGCGGCAATGGCGACGCCTATCGCGGAGAGTCTAGGGTCTGAGGTCCTTATACGCGAATGTCGGTTGGCTTCAAGGTCAACAGGGCGGATATAACTACGAAGAGAGATCGTACATCGGAACTCGGACCATGGGCACATTTCTATTGCTATCCAAGTGCATGATCAATCCTCGCTGTCTATTTCGTACCAGGTACGGGCAATCCGCAGGTCTACAGACATTTTGAATTCAAGACACCCCCCATCCATCCATCCATACATGTATGTGTGATCACGAAGCAGCGCCCCAGACCTCGATCCCGACGCCCGCAACCAACACCCTCTCCCCCACGACCTCCAAGTCCCCGGCGTCCGCGACGCCGCTGTACCGGTCATCGAGCAGGTGGACCCGCGGCTCGGCGGAGCGCCAGCCCACGAGCCGCCACGTCTTGACGCGCTGATCGTTGCTCGCGGTGACGACGACGGCGTCGCGCCCCCCGTTCTCGAGCCGCAGGATCCCGAGGCCCGTGACCGCGGCCGCGTGGGCGGAGCGGACGACGAATTTGCCGCGGATCTCGTAATACCGGGCTTGGGGCTGCCCCTGACCGCGGGTGGAGGCGTGACGGGTATGAGCCGGATCAGGGGATGAGGCGGAGAATGGACTTTGGTCAGACGACGGGGGAGGATCCGGGCGAGATATGGATACCCTAGACGTCGGCTCGGTGGGTGGAGTTGGAGGAATTGGAGAAAAGGGCGAATGGATATGCAACACCCCGATCGCGTCGTCGTCGCCGCCCGTGACGACCAGATACGAGGTCCCGCCGTCGTCGCTGGCGATGCTTTGCATGTCCAGTGATTTCACGGTGCTCTGGTGGAGCTTTGTGACGGGTACGTCAATCAAGTCTGTATTTTCGTCACCGCGTGATCGTATGTCCGTAAACACAGCCAACCGTCCATCGGTAGCAGCTACTAGGACCTGCGGATGATATCCATCCGTGAAGTTGAGATGTCGGAGCTGCGTGAGGCAGGCGCCTGTGTACGTCCGCCTGCCTAATAGCCGAAAGCCCTGCCGTGCGGAGTAGAGGTAGCTCTGTACCACGGAGTTCGAGAGCGCCATTGAGATGCAGAACGTCGGTCTTGTCCGCAGACTTTGACTTTGTGGCTTGACATCGATGCCCTGAACACCATCGTCTGGGGTGGCATCTTCGTCGACACATCGCACGTCGAAGTCCGTGATTCGTAAATCGCCCACCTCGGAGCGGTCGGGGAAGACCGCTTCACAGACGACGCCGAGAGCACAGACCTCGCTTTCCAGTGGCGTGATGCGCCAGGCGAAGAACTCCTCGTTGCCGCCGCTGCTGAAGAGATACTGATCTTCGAACCATTTCAGTCTCTGGATGCCCGTATTATGCTTCTCTAGGGCAAGCATGCACCGGAGCGGCTGCGCCTCTCCCCGGCCTGGGTTCTCCCCGCGAAGCTCCCATATGCGGATCATGGTGTCCTCGGCGCCCGTTGCCACGTACTTCCCGGACGCCGACACGGCCTTGATCTCGCGGCCGTGGCCGCCGGGCTTCAGATGGAGGTGCGGCGCGCGCGTCTGGGAGAATATCTTCATCTGCGACGCCTTGGTGCAGACGAACCTCAGGCCCTCGGGGTTCCCCGCCATCTGTATCTGGTCGAACACGCGATGTCCGCCGCCGCAGTCGATCGCCGCGATCTCCCTCTGCTGCGTCGCGTTCCAGACCACGAAGTACTTGCTCCGGAAGCCGTAGAGCACGAGGTCTTGTTTCCCGTCCGGCTTGTCGAAAAGCCACGAGCCCTCGATCAGGGGACCGAACGGCGGCCGCGTCTCGTCGAGGAGGCGGGCTTGGAAGGTATCCGTCGTATCATCGAGGATCTCGAAGATCCTGTATTTCCCGTCGCGAGATGTTGTGAGAAAATAGAGTGGCGAGGTCTCGGCGCGCCGTGGAAGCGGGAGGATCGATGTGATTTTGTCGCCGATGCTGACTTCCACGGTCGAAAGAAGGGAGTAGCCATCGTTGATGGTCGGCTTGAAGACTGCGATACTCCCGTTCCTTGAGCCGAGAAGCAGATAACTATGGCACCATGCCGCAGTTGTTACGATGAATTCGTCAGGTATAGTCACTTCTGTGCGTCGTACTAAGTTGTGGTTTTGATCCAGACTGAGAATCTCCGCTTGCATACTTCCATATACCGTGACTAGAAGTTCGATATATCGATCAGAGCCTCGGCCAGAGCCAAAAAACGCGTGAGAAGGTGGGATAGAATTATCAGAAAGACAGATTATTTCCGTGATCTTCCGTGCTGCTTTGTGAATTGGCCGGAGTGAATCGCCGCTGGCTTCATGGTAGTAGAATAGCTCGCCGTTAGGAGCGCCTATGAAAGCCGTCGAGGATCTCCTCGAACTCCTGAGGATAGTGTATGATTGTATGATCGTTCGGACGGCATCAGGGATTATTAACTCTTTCCACCCGGTTTTGGCATCAAAGCTACCAAGAAACAGGCGGCCCGATCTTGTCGTGATGAGCAACTTGTCGTCTTTGACGAATGTGAAGCTTTGGAACATTTCCTTTCCATTCCCATGCTTGAAGGACAAGATAGAAGAGGTATGTTTGGGGCTTTGGTGTTGACATTCCTGAATAAGGTACATTGGAGATATGTCGAGTTCCTGAAAAGCCCGCGGGTGATAGCTGACACCGTCATCTGCTGCATTACCCAAGTTCCTTGGTGTATGAACGGAATCGTTATCTATGAGCGCTATCTTGCCATCTCCACCACCAGTGGCCATTAGAAGGCCACTCTCGTAGGAAATCATAGCATGCGACCAAATTTGTTTCCCGCTGTGACTTGAGAAGGTCTCGTGGTGCGTCAACTTAGAGGAGGCACGACCTGATGCTCCCAAGTCGGGCGCCCCTGAAACCGCCTCGAGGTCAGCGCCAAGCTCAAGGTGCCACCTTTGCATCGTGGCATCTTCACCGAAAGAGTAGACCTCGACCATATTGCCTCGCGAGGCGGAACGCCTATTCCTGATTTCGACGTCCCAGATCCTGGATATATGGCCCATGGCCATCGCAACACATCTCGAATGACTGTTCACTAGCCCCACCGAGCCGACGATGGAATCGCCATACCCAGTCTGCCTGACGCCGGATATTTCCGCTTCATACCCACTCTCTCCAGTCGTAGCCTTATCGCTCCGCTCCGTGATATCCCAGATCCGGATCGTCCTATCGTCACTACAACTAGCAAGCAGCCTTATCGTATCGCCGGAACCCATCAGTATCTCATCCGATATATGGACGCCGAAGATGGAGCCCTCGTGGCCCGCGAAGACGAACAGGACCTCGCAGCCGGCCGTCTCCTGCCTCTCTTGCGCATGATCCGCCCCGGAACCGCTGGCATAGCTACTGGCGTCGACGTCGTCAGACCCAAGGTGACATTTCCAAACCACGATCTCGCCGAATACCGTCCCGGCGGCCACGAGCACGTGATCCCGCTCAGCCCAGAGGAGATTTCCCGAGTAGAGGATCGGCCGCGAGGGCGACTGCACCCGCCCTAGTACGAGGGTGCTCTGATCCTCGCTTACACGCCCCTGGACGACCTCGTTATGCGCCGTCAGCAGGACGATGTGGTCCTCGTCGAAGGGCGAGACGCGGCCGTCGAATATCCAATCACGGGCGAGAGCCTGGGGCGCAGACAGTGTTTTTCTTGCTATGACATGCGTCTCATGGTCGTCCCAACGTACACTGCTGTCGCTCTGTTCGAGGCTGGAGGAAATCAGCTCTTCGATGATGCGACCAGGCAGCACCTTCACGGCGTGACCACCCCAAACGAGGATCGGCGAGGGACCCCTGGAAGAGCTAGGACTGCTGCTGCTACTACTGCCGCTGCCGTCTAGAGTAGCATGGGGGATCGAAATCCCATGGATAGATTGCGCCCGGAACACGGGCAATACACCACAGAGTCGCGAGGCCGCGACGTCGTAGACCCTTATATCCGTGTCCTCGGCCGCGAGCAGGTAACGTTTCCCGCCCAGCGTCAGGAACGCGAGGGCGGTGATCGGATTGAGCACATACTCACGGCGGCCGAGCCCGCCGGGAGGTGCCGCCTGCGGTTGAGATGCATTAATAAAGTAAAGTCTTTTTTTTTTTTGGTTTTTTTTTTTTTTTTTTTTGCTCCGTCGATCTCTTGAAGGAGGGGCTGCTGGCTTCGAAGATAAAGGCCAGTTTTGTGGGGCCCTTTCGGATTTTTTTTTCTTGTCAACGAGGGGAACAGACTTACGTTGGGAGTCATTAGCAGACTGCCCTCATAACAGGACTCAAAACTGAATCGCGCAGAGGCTTGAGCTGCCTATTAAAAAGTAGTTGTTTCAGCTAAGTTGTGCATGTTTTTAATTTTGACTGTGCCTTCGTCCGGTCTAAGAAAGAATTCAATGCCCAAGCACGTGATTCGCGCTGTCGAATCTCTAAATCAGGTAATTAGGAGGTAGGTAAACATAAGTTTTCACATTGCGGCTATGAAAACGCGGTCTGGTTGAGGCTTAAAATACTTTCATGGATATCATTACGGGATCGATCTAGCAAGATGTACTGGCTATCTTTTTTTGCAACGCATTATCGCGAACTCTTTCCACCCCTAGATGCGCCTAGATCCGAACCCAATCGTATCGCAACCAAGCGCCGGCAAATGCAAACTGATGAAATGTGTACTGTCCAGTCTATTTCATATCCAACCCCTCCTCTGTCGTTACACTCGTCAATCTCCCCCGATTTAGACCCGAGAATGTGAGTAAGGCTCGTAAGCGAGGTCTGTTCGCGGACCACC